ATATTTATATATATATCCAATCTGTTACCGGCTCAGTGATCTCAGTTTCTTTACTCTTATATGTTTGTAAATGTACATTTTTTGCTTTACAAATGATTGAATTATGTTGTTTTTATATTCCGGTTAAGGATTTTAGCCTTTAGTAATTTGTGTGCAATATTTTTAGAATTATCAGCCATTTTAAAAGTTGGTTAATTACCGCTAAAACCTGTTCTAATGGACGGCCATTGATGTTAATTTGAAACAGGAGAATAGGTGGATTTTGTTGCCAATCTAGAGAAACTTAGCTTCGCAACAACAAAAGATAACGCATTCATTTTATTGCCAAAATTTAAATCGTGCTTTATTCTTTCTGAAATTTTTTTCCAGAAATAGCGTTTGAGATTTACTTCGTAATTTTTAACAGGTATTTTGAGTTTTTATGTATTTTTGCTTGTCGCGAAGTAAGACTGAATTAATTAAATGAGAAAATACCAATCGTCTGTGAAAAACTTTTTTTTTTTTTCTTGCTTAAATTTTTTATACATCGGTCTAGCTTTTTATTTATGTATTTGATAGAAACATGTGGCAACGATTAGAAATCTATTCTTTAAAATCTAAAATTTGTGCTCTGAGTTATAAATATGAACGAAATATAAATACTGTAAGTGAATCTAGCGCCAGAGTGGGCGCTATGGTAAACAATACTAGAGGAATTTAGAGATGCATTTTTCTATGTGGTTTATGCGCTTCGTCGAAGTAGGTTTTAATTGAATCTAATAAGTTTAATAAAATGTAAGAAAAATGCTTATAATTTAATATTCCGTACAAGGAAGTCATGTGGTGTACACATCAAATTTTTTTTCCATGTGTAACGTAAGTCTTCCACGAAGGTGTTCTTTCCGTTTAGTAGATAACCTATCATGAATTCAGGCAGAGAACTTTTGAATGCTTGCTGTAATAAAATACTTCTCTTCATTAAACGTTGCGGCCTACCAACGGCCGAGTAGTTACTGAATACTCATTCTTCAAACTCATTTGAACGGTCTGCTTTCAAGGTTGGTTTGTATGATTTTTCCCGTGCTTAGATTTCAGTCGCGTTCATTTCATTGCTGTGTTAACTTATAGCCATCTTTATGGGAAATGGGACTTCATAACAGCAATCAGTCACGTGATTAAATTCGAATTCAGGAAATTAACTTCGTTGCTCAGAATGGTAAAATAAAGAAATTATAAATTGTACGATTTTTTATTCACAAATCATTACGAAATTTACAATATTATCACTGCATGATCATTCGATAGAAACGTCAAGACACTTGTTTATTGATATCGTAGATACCGACGTCAACAGTAGTTATCTTAGATTTATCTGGCTTTGACGAAGCTTAGGAAATTACGGTAATCTCTTGAATTTAATATTGTACAATAAAAATAATGCTTGATGAAAAGGAGTATACTCGAATATTTTTCCGTATCATAATATCTAAATAAGCATATATATCTAATATCAGCAGATATCATAATATTTAAAATAACATTTTAAACCTATTTTGTAGCTTAATAAAGTTACAACATTTTAACGAAATGCTCGGATAAATGTTTATATTTATTCTAAAAGATAAAACACTAAAAGGTTTCCGAATTGGTAGATTAACTGGCGACATTGGTATACAGACTGTGGTAATGGTCAATAAATAATTTTGTAAAGTGTATTCGGATTCTAAGAAACAATAGCAGGCATTGGTGCATAGCCTGTTCATCACTTTTTCGCTTCCTTTTAAAGGAAGTATAATAATTCTTATAAAATTTCCTTTTCAGATTCTAACGGAAATATCTATTCTGAGCATTCCCGAATCAATTTTGAACTTTTTTTGTAACATATGGTACGGACAAAATAAGAGACTCTTTAATTCAGAATACAAAATTGTTTTCTTTCTTCAAAAAGCGGATTGCGAAATGAATTCAAAATGGGTTCTCAAAAACGATTAGACGGAGAAAATTCAATTTCATATATGGGACTACTATAATACACTGCTGGCCACCGCAAATACAACATCCTGAAGGAGGCATGCAAGTAACATGAAATTTACAACATGCATTAGCGGAGGTGAGATATGCAAATGATTAGAATTTCAGCGCAGACGCACATCACGCGCGCCTGTGGCGCCACTTCAAAGCGCTATTTAAGGCTTGGAGTTTTCGACTATTTCAAGATTATGCCTTGTAGTAAATAGCGATCATCGTTTGATCAAGTATCCGAGTTCGACAGAGAAGGATAGTGGCCTACGAAGTGTGGATATCTTTCAGGAAAAATCGGTAGTTCGTTGTGGACGAACCAGCAACTGTAATGCGGATATGTGAAGCGTTGGAAAGCCGATAAGCAACGGGGACTGGGGCCACTGTCCCTTTACCAAAGCGTTAACCGGTTAAAGCACCACGGCCCCTATTCAGTGCCTAAAAGAGGAATCACCAGACGCTACGCACCGGGCGCCCAAAAACTCAAGCCAAATTTCAACCGGGGGGGGCAGTCCAAACAGACCAATGCCCCACGAAAGACAGTCCCTACACCGCCAGGCCCACGTTTATAAATAAATAAAATAACAAAAAGCATCAGGGCCAAAACAAGGGCGAGTTTTGACATAAGCAAAATGTTACAAGGTGTATACACAAAATTAGAATTACATAATCTGAAGTACAGTCTGATGTTGGGCAGGCCCAATAATATACAATGAGTAAATATAGACAGTAGAATTAATGACATATAATTAGAATATAACAGGAACATAGTGACTAATGAATGTAAATGATTACGAGGATTACCCAAAAAATAAAAATAAAAGAATACAATAGCCATCATGTGTGACTGAAGCAATGAACAGGAAATGCGTTAAAGCATTCAGAAATTTTATTTATCAAAAACTAACAACTGATCCCAGGAGGGTACGACGGACGACGTTGTTCATTCGTATCAACCTCAGTGCACCACTTCACGTGATGACAGGAACACTGTGCGCCATGGCAGTGGACGGACCGCTCAGTCAATACGAACCATAGCATAGCAATCTCTGAACGCATCATCCAGTGTCTGCGCGTACCATTCGACGCTTTTAAGCAGAGGGGTCATCCGCAGACGTCCATGCTTCGTCTTCCTTCACGAGAACCACAGACTCTCCGCCCAAGGGCAATGAAAGAAGGAGTGGACGGTTAGAAATGGAAGAAATGTCTTTACTGACGGTCACGCTTCTGTCTGCAAACACGTTGTCGGATTCAAGTCTGGAGCACCGTGGGAGAGGATGTGAACAGCTGCGTATTCACCGCCACACTAGTCCTGCCGGTTATTATGGTATGGACGGTATTGGATATCATCTGTACTCTCTAGTACGCATTGTCGGTACTTTAAACAGCCCCATCGCTACATCCCCGAGGTGTTGGAGCCAGTTGCCTTCCTTACCTTCAGGGCCCACCAGAATTTTAACAGGATAATGCACGAAACACGTGGCACGCATTGTCCAAGTTCTTCGTCAATCGCAGATTGAACTGCTCCTGGCCGTCTCGCTCTCAGATCGGCACAGGCAAGATAGAAATGTGAAATCTTCACCAAACAAAAGAAACCTTTTTAAAGTTTCATACCTATTCAGTGCAGTCGATGTGGCTCTATGCTTCCTCATTCGCAAAGAAATGGTTATCACTTATCATGCATCAGGCCACACCACACGTTCACTTAGGCTGTTACGTTCGACTCGACGTGAGCAGGAGGATTTTCAGCAGCCCGTATTCGATGGTATGCGATGAAATGCCGCACAGGGAATGTCGCCTCATCGCTAAAACGCAATCTTCAGCAGAATCGGTTTCACTGTCGACTCATAGCATATCGTAGCAAACGCAATGTTTGGTCTATCCGTGGTTTGATAAACTTGCAAACAGCTGTAGTTTGTAAGGGCTTCTAGGTAGCTCTTCATATCGCCTCTCAGACTCGTCACTGACCGATGGCCTGTCCAAACAGGGTTTGTCTAACAAACTGCCGGTATCCTTCAACTGCTTAACCCACTGCTTAATGTTATTTCTGTGTAGTGGCGGTTTGTTGTACACGCGACGATATTCACTTTGGACTTCACGGATTCGAATTTGGCAAGCTACAGAACACACTGAACTTTCCTCTGTCCGGTCCACATCTCCACTGGCGTGGGCGTGTATGGGCTGATCTGCTCCTTCGCATTTCGCGGTGCTGCGTCATCACCTATGTGCGCACATGCTTGCACATAAAGCTACGGAAATTTCGAGAGTTTTCCTTTTTTTGGTGAAGATTTTACATTTCTATCTTGTTTTGTAGCTTTCCTGTGACCGGTCAAAAGTGCACCATTACTTTACGGACGCACTATATCACCGCAAGCTCCTGATTTACTTTTCATGCATGTATAAATAATTATGTTGGCAGACGTCTTTTACATGTATATAGACATAATCTCGCATTTCAAGAAATATTTTCTTAAGTATTTGTACCAGTACTTTTGACATACCGTATTCCCCTCCTTCTCGTGTATACTACTCCCCCTAGTTTTATAGAGCTAGATTCTGAAAATTTGAAATTTATTCGTATCATTTTCCCCTTTCTCTATTGTTTATAGTTTTTCCCTCAAAGGTCTTGTTTATTGGTATATTTTATACCTTTGATTATTATTATTCGGTGTATTCAGTTTGTATTTGCATTTTTGTATTAGCGTTTCATCGGTTCACCTTTTCCCTTGCATTTAATATTTGAAGTGTATTTTGGTTAAGCTACCCGGACGTGGCAGGCGTTCTCACACTTAAAAAAAACTTTTTAAGGGCTTGGATCGTACAGAAATGATTGACACAACGGCTCTTACAACGAAACTATTGCACTATGCGAAGGTAAAACAAATAAAATAGATACAAGGGGCCTTGAGTTACTCAGAATGCCTAGATGGAGTTGGCCGCAAGCGAACGGTATAGGTCACCGCTCGTCTCTTTCGCCGTCGTCATTGAGAGCGCGGACAGCAATGATGGAAGGTCATTATCACGGTCAGCATTGGACAGCGTGGTTCCTATGGAAGGAAGGAATACAGGGTAGTGAGATCCATTGTTGCATGGTGCCGTTCTGTGGGAACAAAGCACTCTCAAGGCATACCGTATCCCGTTGGTTGGCCAAGTTCAGCAGTGGAATGGAGACTACAGCCAAAGGTGTCAGCGAGGGACGACCGGCAGCATCACATACAGCAGCAAATGTGGCAGCCGTGTCGGATTTGATCATGGCCAAGAGGCGCATAACGTCCAACAAGATGCAGGAAGAAACAGGGCTTGCGCAAAGAACATTGCAGGCGATTGTGCTTGATGATTTGGAGATGACAAATGTGTGTGCAAAGTGGGTGGACCTTGGACCTCGAACCAAGACCTCGGACTAAGCCTAGCTTGACAAGATGAAGGATGCAGTGAGGGGCCAACATGTTAAATTTTCTGCCGAATTGCATGCAGTTGTCCATAGGTGATGCACAACACCCCCACTGACTGGTATACCAAAGCCCTTCGGTACCTCCCAGCCAGCTGGCAGAAGTGGATTGACATGGGCGGGGATTATTTCTAACTGATGTACTATTAGTTTTTTGTTAATAAATTGTATTCTGCTCTGTGGCAGCATTTGTGTCATTCATTTCTGTAAGACCTAAATACGTTATTTTACTTTACTTCTGTTGTTTACGTTCCAGCTCATTGTATCCTTATCTATTGCTGATGTGTTCGATCTTTCGAAATCGGAGTCTTTTGTTTCCCCGCGTATCCTCCGTTCATTCGATGTTATTCTTGGAGAATTGAAGTGAAGATTCATTCGTGTGAGCTCCATTAGGACTTTATGTTACCGTCGGATATTGTAATGTTAATAAAATGTTACTGTGTATTCGTATGGAAATGGAAGTTTCTTTTAAAGAAATAATATTTTGATAGTTATCATTTGTTTATCCATGACTATTTTTCATTTGTTTAGTTCTTGCTGTAACCATGTTCTTCGGAAATTAAATATTTCGCATAATTTTCCTTTCTCAATTTGCGTATAAAACTACTAAAAAAAGGGGGGTAAGGAAAATACGGTGACTGCCTTTTGAAAAGTGCAGACGTACGTTATCAAAATTTAGACTCATTTATTAAATCAAGAAGACTTTTTAAAATATATACTTATAATAAACTTGTAGCGCTCACTTCAGAATGTACTGGTTAATAAGTAAGTTCCGTGCAGAATATAATCTATAAATGCAGAATTATCAACAATTTAAAAGCTGTTTAAATGTGGCTAAGCCTAATTTTTGTTTTTTATAGCAGCCATGTTTGTTAATATATGAAACTTAGCAAAACAGTGAATTCAATTTTTGCACTTTCAGTGTCTTTTTGCCGAGTGTGTCTAAAATTAAACTAAACTTTCATTTTTGTACGCCGAAAAATCTGCCTTGTTGACTACCGGCCGAATTACTTGTTTTTTTCGTAGAAACTCTAATTTTAATTGTAAATTTTTTTAAACTGTATTTGATGTTTTATTTTTGTCTATATTTTTCAGTTTTTAATGAAGATATTTTGAGGATTTTATGTATTTTTGCCTTGCCGCGAACTGAGAACAGAATTAACTGAATGAGAATTATATCTCTAATTTAAATTCCAGGAAATAAGTTTAATGAAATGCAGCAAAAAGTGCATTAAATTTAATATTCCGTAAAAAGTCATGTGTATATATCAGATTTTTTTATTAGATACTAGCAGCTTCGCTGCCAGCCTTCGTCTTGCTTTTAAATGTACCGGAAAAATGGCTGAAGGGAACGCCAAACGTTAAATTTACAAACTGCGTAGAATTTTACTCTGCAGAACAACTTCATAAAAAAAAAAGTTATTACGTATAACAAAATTACAATGAAATAAGCAATATCCCTTAATACAAATATTAATTATCCTAAAAAATATCCCTTTGGAAGTTGGTTAATTTGAAAATGGAGTGTGTAGGGTAAAATCTCGCTTTCCTATAGCCCATTATGTCCAAAATGACGCGATTTTGTCACAAAACATAAAATAAAAAAAATTCGAATTCGAATTTCGAAAAAATCTCTTCGCGGTGCACTGGCCTTTGTCTAGATGCACCTATGTACCAAATTTCGTAGCCGTGGGTCTATTAGCTTACGCGCAAGAGCGAACGAAAAAAACACACACACACATACAGACGCTTTCTTTTATTATATGTAGAGATTTAACCATCACTGTATTACAACAGTCCTCAAATCTTAATTTACCTTCAAAAATAATTTTCTTTTAGAAAGAAACTTTAAACAAAAATTAATATTTCTCGTGAAAACGTATCATTGTATTTGGAGTTTAAAAAAATTATCGTTTTTGATTTGCATATAGATAGTTTGCTTGCAGAAGAACTGAAATACTACCTTAAGCGTGAAAGTAGCAGTAAATCTTTTCCGAAGACGCGCCGCCACGATGTCGGGCAAGGGAACAAAAAATATAGCTGGATCTGTACCAGGTTTTAATTTTACTGTTCTAAATATTGTCGCGTGGGTGAAATCAGACATCTTTTAAATATGTGTTCTACATTCTAAAATGTGGGTAAGCACACTTTGAAACATCTCATTGTTCGGAAAGTATGACGCCCGAAAGAATTAATGGAAACTGTAAAAAAAGATACGAATTCCTCTTGTAAAACTAAAATTTCGTTGATTAGTAAGGATAGAGTCAAATGTAAAATAATTTGAAGTCAAGATGGGCGGAAATCAATTTTGTAATATTATTGCTAAGTTATGAAAGGATTTAACAAATTTCATTTCGATATTTTAGATGCATATTAAATAAAGCTATATATAATTAAAATAATCATATTCTATATTAACGTATATCAAAAGGTATGTCTTTAATCATTAGTATAAATCATTGCCTGATGTTGAAAAATTAAAAAGTAAATATTTCTAAAAATATTATAAGGTATTTTTTCCCTGCTTTCTGCATGCCTTCATGGTGTAACGGTTGGCACACTCGGCGCGTATTCGAGAGGTCCAGGTTCGAGACCCGGCGGCATATTTCACAAGTGCACATCTGTGTAGACACCGAGGGAGTGGTTTCTAGGATGGACCAATGAGCATCTAGTAATATTTCTGTCATGTCACATGACCATTCGCCTGCTTTAAGATTTAAGCAAGATGGTTGAAAATATTCTCCCACGCAATTTTTTGTAAAAAATAATTAAAGCATCGTCGATTTTTTCTGAAACTCATCATTGCGAAGTTAGATGAAATATAGGCAATTATGAAGATTTCACTACATGGTTGAAATAAATACAAACACATGTTGGATACTTCGCAAAAATATCGATGTGAAATATTACTTAATAAGTGGCAAATAAGATAAAGAAAGAAATGTGTGATAAACATCTGAGCACAAATGCAATCTTTATATAAAACTATCCGTATGAGAAAAATATTTACAGGAATTATATATGTAAATAGAAGTCAGCACTTTTTATTGCAGTCTATATGAAAAAAAGAGGTTCTGTAATAATAACCAATGCAGAATTTTATTCAAAGTGAAATTTACCAATTTGCATTCGTATACATTTAGTGTGTTAAATTTCACATTTAATAACTGCTCACTCTTAAGTGAAATGTTTACACAAGAAATACTCATCAAGCAGAGTGTCCCAGCGAGAGCACTGCTCATTTTTCATGCATCCTGCTTTAAAAAAAAAAAAAAAAAACCTAATGACTCTATCTGAAACAATTTCTCTGTCACCGAGTGATTAAGAAATATTTCCAACTGAAACAATATATTTTGATTCCATTCTTAGGCATCGATTAAAATTTCAGCAGTGCTTCGAAAAGGAAAACATTTTGGCGTAGTTTTGAAATTGCAAACGCTTTTCTTCCCATATATTTGGCAATTCAAGTTAATTTCTTCTAATTGAAGCTGACTGACTACCACCCTCAAATTAAATCTTAATTTCAAGAGTTACCTGAAGACGACATGGAGACTAACTGCCAACATGTTACCACAATTTTATTCCACAGTAAACTTGTTCTACAGCATGCGTATTCGTAAAACGAACTTATCTACGAATAAGCCAGAACCATTTACGGCTTCAATTTTATGGAATATATATGCAGTACTTTGCAAAGATGTGTAAGCAACTCTGAAATAATTTTCCGAAATCGGCTTGTTTAATAACTGGCTACCGTTCACGTAGGATGCAATAATAACCTTCTGAGCCATTTGCTTATTTGCCATGCTGTTTCACCATCAAGTTGCTGACTGCTTCGATGTGACTGCAGAATTCTTCAAACTATTTCTTATAGACAAACCTATTATGGGTATATTCTAACATGGTTACAGCTTCTGTAAATGTGCTTCCATATAGTTCTACACCAATCCGTGCGTGATATTTGAGCGATTTTTGGCTAAACGCGAGAGGGTTAAGTTCCATTCACATTATGTTTCGGCTACGCGGGACTTGACGTCGAAAGGGACATTTCTCAGAACCCGCACCATTCCAGGAAACACCCGTAGCTAGGTTACCATTTTCACTTACTACAAAGATTTGAACGCCAAACAGTAATCGATTATCGCTCACATCGGGATCACATGATACTTCAGAAGCAGAACTTTCGTCTGATTGGTTGTCTCTACCCGGGATCCGAGACATTTTTGGTGAAGTTTGAAAAATTCCCGCGTAGCCGCAACATTGCTTCCGTAACTAGGCGGGACTTCGCTTCAGGCGGGACTCTTTTTTTCTAGGAATTCTGCCGTTTCAACCAGTGCTACCAGAACCTCGTTTTTCAGAAAAGTCCCGTCTAGCAAGGGCTGTAGCCATGTGTGATAACCTCTTTATCTCAAGAAAAGAGGGAAATGGGTTCTTAACCCCTTCACATAAAATGACGTCCGGGAGACGTCATTCATTTTATGTGCCATTGTAGACTTTGACGTCGCCGAGACGTCAAGAACTGTCTTCGGCCAACGCCGCGCATGGTATTATTGTTATATGGCAATGTAAATTTGAAAATAGAACCTTCTGTTTTTAAGCTTGCACATGAGCAGTGTTGCCAGATCGTGCGATTTTTCGCAAATTTGGGACTTTTGACAAGATTGTGCTACTAAAATTTTAGTGTTTAATTTTGCGAAATTTTTGCAACATCCATCATTTTCTTATGCTACTTTTTGCGAACTTCAAAGAGTTTTTTAATATATCGTAAAATGTTTTGATGTCAAAATAATGTATCAATTAAAAATAATTTATGTATAAAAAAACAGTTTAGTTAGGCTTAAATAGAATTTGGTATCTGGCAATCTTGTTTACATGTGGGCTTTCCTTTTCAAGGCTGCTGAGCTCGAAGCCTGTGTAACGAGAAGCGGGTAGGAGAAAGCAAAAAGAGGAAAAGAA